CATTCCTGCTTCTAATTGCCACAGTGTGAAAGATAAACAAAAAACTCCAATTTTATTTAATTAAAGACCTGGTAGAATCCACCGGGGAGAATTGTACGGTAAAGGGTTGGGGGGGTGGGGAGAGGCTGCAGCGCTTCTCCGCAGAGCAGATTCCCACCGGGATGGGGGGCCGGGGTGGGATTTGTTCGCTGCTCGGTGGCCGAGGTTCATGGGGAAACATGCCCCCCCCAAAAAAACACGTGATTATCTGGAGGTGGTGACTCTCCAGGGCTGGAGACAGAGGCGGGCTGTGTTTGCTTCAGGAGAGCTGATGGGGGCTCGAGGGACGTCACGGGCAGGTTCCGTTCTATCCATCCTGCTGTCGTCTGCAGTCAGACAGGCTTTGCGGGTCTCCAGTACCCTGTTTGGGATTTTTTCCCCTGTTCCGGGTGCCATCTGGGTCCAGGCCTGGCTGTCCTTCAGGTGTTAATGCGTACACATGCTTAGCCCACACTAGCCAAGCCACGTCTCCAGGAGATGCGGCCTCCAGCTACCCTCAGGGTACGTATTCGCAGGAGTAGGAAGTTGAACACCACCACCCCTCCAGAGCTTTGGAGGGACTGCCGAGGTGGGTGGCTTGTTGACTAGAGGTCCCTGGTGGTCCTTGGCCCAAAAGACGTCCGCCTAGCCTCGACCAGGGACAGGGCCTTTTCTGCCCTGGCCCCCACCTGGTGGAACACGCTTCCCATCGAGATCAGGATTTACTTCAATTCCGCAGGGCCTGTAAGACGGAGCTCTTCCGCCAGGCTTTTTGGTTGAGGCAGCGGGCGTCCGCATATGGCCTCCCCGAGGCTGCTGTCTCCTACCTACCGGCCACCCATCTGCCAGCAACCGGCCGTATCCATCAGTATGAATGGGCCGGAATTTGCACCAGCAGCTACAACTACTGATTTTAAACGTTTATCATGGAAATGTTTTATTGTGTTTTAAACCTTATTGTATTATTTGAGATGATGTGACCTGCCCTGAGCCCGCTCACCGGACGGGCGGGATACAAATATGAAAAATAAATAAATAGAGGTTTAGACTGGGATCCTATTGCCTCCGCAGAGCCATTGGGGGTCACTGTGTCTCGTGGCAGGTCATTTGCTTCAGAGCAAAATGGGAGTTCCGGTGAGGGGTTCCATAGCGAAGGCGATCACGGGGTCTCTGCAGAGAAAGGCCGCTTTGGACCGTGGTTTCCGGTCAGTAGATGCCTGTGTTGATTCTTCCCACTCCATGGTGAGGTGGCAACCCTTAGCTTGTGAGTTTCTTCCAGGGCTGAGAACGGGGAGCCAGGGCTAAGTGGATGAGCCTCTGCTTGGCATGCAGAAGGTCCCAGGTTCAGTCCCCGGCATTTCCAGTTAAAAGGACCAGGCAGGAGGTGATGGGAAAGACCTTGGCCTGAGACCCTGGAGAGCTGTAAAGAGGGGCTGTGGTTCAGTGGCAGAGCCTCTGCTTGGCATGCAGAAGGTCCCAGTTTCAGTCTCCGGCATCTCCAGCTAAAAGGATCTGGCAGTAAATGATGTGAAGGGCCTCTGCCTGAGACCCTGGAGAGCCCCCGCCAGTCCGAGTGGACAATACTGATCTTGATGGACCCGGGGTCTGATTCCGCGGAAGGCAGCTCCATGCATTCAGGCATGCTCACATAGGCAGGGAAGGATGGTGTTGGGGAGAGGGATCCCTTGCAGGCTTATCGATGTGCTGATGGGGGTAGTGTTGGCTACGTACTTCCTAGTCCAGAATGACTTGGGGTGTGAGCAGTCAGGCAGAATGGGTGCCCAGTCAGAAGGGTGGGGGTCATTTAGCCCTCCCCCAAGAGACCTGTTTTGCTCTCTTTCTAAAGGAACAGATTTGATGAATCTTGCAAGGTATTGGTCTTCTCCCTCCCCACCCCTGCAAGTTCATAAGAACATAACAGGAGCCAATGTTGGATCAGGCCCGTGGCCCATCCAGCCCAACACTCTGTGTCCCACAGTGGCCAAAAACACCAGGTGCCATCAGGAGGTCCAGCAGAGGGGCCAGGACACTAGGAGCCCTCCCACTGTTGCCCCCCCC